TTTAAGAAGAGTTTCATAGGGGCACCTGTGAATATACCACAGGTATTGTGGATTTGAGCCCTGAATCGGGCTCTGTACTGACCGCTCAGAGCCTGGACCCTGCTTCGGGTTCTGTGTCTCCTTCTCTCTCTGCCCCTCCTCCGCTTTCTCTTTCTCTCTCCAAAATAAACAAACATTAAAAAACAAGTTTCATAAAATCTTGAACTTTCACACTAAAGATTCCAATGTTAGATTACCTGTGGGCTATAGTCACCTCAGTGTCCACGTACATTAAGCACACAGATACAGAAGATGATATGATCTGTATTCATTTTCCAATATTCATTGCTTAAGATTTTGAAGAAAAGAAGAGAAAATTGTCCAGACTGCCATTCAGAGAGAAAGTTTCTTAAAGTCTTGGGACACAGGGAATCTGTCTCAAGAATTTGTTCCTCATCCCTAGGAAATGTGCCAGCGGCATTTCTAAGAGACACACGTGGTTCTTGTAGGTAACTGGAGAATATACACCTCAGTCTTTATCAGCTGGAATAAACGGCTGCAAAGAGTAGGGAAATCAAGGGAGCGAATAAGGAAGAGGGGAACCTCAGTAATGTGGATTTGCTAAAGTGGCTTTGAGCTGTCAAAAAGAAGTTGAGAAATTACTTTCGTAAAGGTTTTCAGGGTAGGGCAAGAGAAATGTTCATTTTAAATGACCCGAACCCTAGAGTCAGAAGGTAAATGAAAATGAGAAAAGAACTGAAACAAACCAAAACACAACCGACACAACATAGCTGTAAATACGTAAGTATTGAAAACACAGCGGTACCTTTTGTTTCATCCCTCATTTTCTGTATAAGCAAAACACAGACTTCTGTTGCACACTTGGTGCAGCAACCTAACTTCAGGTTTATTACTAAGAGTGGGAACTCTCAGCAGCAAAAGTTCTCAAGCATGGCCAAGATATTGGCAGGGTAGTTCATGAAAGTCATCTTTGCTTTTCTGTTATCCAAATTCAGTGGCCAATTCTCAATGCTTTCTTACTCGCCTCAGGGACACTTTCCTTGAAATATTCTCTTCACGTGGCTTCTGGGACCTCCCTTTCTCTCATTTCTTTTTCTCACGCTGGTGGCTCTACCTCAGTCTTCATTGCTGGACCCTTCTCATCCTCCAGCCCTCTCAGCATCAGGCCGCTTCAGTCCTTGATCCCTTTTCTGTCTACTCACTCCTCAGTTGGTATCATCAAGCCGGAAGTATCTGATGATGCCCCAGAATCATACCTCCAGCTCTGACCTGTTTCCTGAATGCCAGACTCCTAAATTCAGCTGCCTGCTTAGCCTATTTGGACATCTACAACATAACTCTATTTGGATATTTCATAACCTGCTCTGTACCCCTGCACCCCTACCTCTGGCCCCCACTCCAGCTTTTCTCCTCTTGGTGAACGCTAGCTCCATTCCATAGGTCGAAACACTAGCATCATTCTTGAATCCTTTTTTTCTCCCACACACCACACTCACCCCATTAGCAATTCCTGTTGGCTTTACCATCTAAATAGATCCAGAATCCAACCACATCTCACCACCTTCACTTCTACAATCCTTAGTTCAGGCTACTGGGCCTTACTTACTTCCCCTACCACCAGCGCTGTCACGGGTCATTTTTGACACTTTTTTTTT